ATCTCTCATTACTTAACACCCGTTTTTTACTAAATGAGCCAAATAGTTGTATTTTACGTTGGAAGTGCGCTGTGTGTTTTGTCCCTGCCCAGAAGGCTATAGCGATTTCACGGCAACATCACAAACCTATCCACGTTTTCTCAGCTCCATCTAATCGACTACCCGACTCCTTTACTTTACCTATATTTTACCTATATTGACTTTCTATCAACAGCTTTGTTTTAGCTTTTTACAGTTGATAGTCGGTGCCATTATTTAAGTTATCTTCCATAACATTATTAAGATTTATCTAAAATGCAGTTTGCAATAAAGAACTATAATAGATAGGATATTTACAAATAATTTATTAACTTAAGGATTAAACATTAAAAACAAAAATAGTACACATCTAACTATATATTAATAGGCAAGCATGTTTCTTTAAAACCTTTTTTCTCAGCTCGTGTACATTGCAGGGAAAATCTACGCATACTGTTGGAAAGATATTTTCCTGTAGATGTGCAGAATGCCTTTATAGATTAAAATAGGCTCAAAAATAAGCACAGAAAATGAATTTAAAATTTTGAAAAAATTAACATGGTTCGTTGCCATGCTGGTGACGAAATATTAATGAAATATAAACAGAAAATAAAAACAAATGGAAGAAACTCCAATCACATGTTTTGTTAACAGTGTGGTGTAAAAATAGAGAAGTCTGTACATTGCATATTATTTTTTGGTCAAGTTTCGACCACTGGACGACCTCTAGTTTACTTTATTTGTTGAATAGTTTCTTTACTTCGTTTCAATCGTCAAATAGATTACCATGAACTCTTTGATACATCTTGGTTATAATTAAATTTGTCAAATCTCATTAATAGAAATTGTGAATACTATTTAAAATCTCTTAACTTTATCCATACACAATGAACCCCTTTCTTTTAGATATGAAACCCATCGTACTGTAGCCATAAATAACATATATTTTTACTGCTTCTGTATGATTTGATGTCATATAATTTTAATTCCAACCTACTACATATGTACAACATTTAGATATCAACCTCTTTACTAGGTAGGCTAGGTGAAGAGAGAATCACAAATTTCTCAAATGTCACCTATGTTAGAGATGACACATTGCAGTTGATTGTAAATTCATGATGTAATCAGCAGCAAACTTGCCATCTGCAGACAAGGAGGTCAAATCTAATGCATTGGCTACGTGGCAAATAATACAAATAATAACCTTGGAACTAATTCTGTAGTTCTGTGTATTGTAAATAACAATTTACTGAAAATATAATCAGATTAAAATGAAGTTTTTAATGGAAAATTATCATTACTATATAATCTTTATGACTTACTTTATATAAATACTTACTTTATATAAATATTTATATAAAAAAATCTTATCATTCAAACATTTGTCTACTGTTTTTCAAATACGTAAAACCCTAATACCAACTAGGCCTATATAAAATGAAAGTAAATTTATTTCCCTACATGTAGAGGTATAAAGACAAATACAAAATAAATATATATTTATAGTTTTCTTATTTAAAATGCTGCTGCACCATTTTCATGTGGTGATCAAATAGTTTGTTCAATGTGACGAAATGTTTCAAAAACGGGCTAAATGAAATGATTCAAACATCAAGTTTAGCAAGTCCATGCATGAGAAACCGTTTACAAACTAGATATGTAAAATTTACATCTACATATATATTTACATATTAATATATAACATATTAATATATTAATTTACATCTAAATATATATCTGTACTAGTACTTATATGTCTGTACAAGTTTTTAAAATCTAAAAAAATCCTGATCCAAACATTTGTTTATCAGTTCAAATTTGTAAACAAAAGCTACCATATCAAAATTAATCCAAATCATTTAGGCTATACATTGTAATGATCCTTTTTTTCTATGAAAATAAGTATATTTTCATCAATATTGTATTAAACTATTCTCATAAGGATACAACTTTAGAATCCTGGGAGCAGAACCTGTACCTCTTAACCTCTGTTGTTTGAACTGTCAAATTATAGTATATCCAGCTGACTTCAATTAAAATTTTTGACTATTTACATTCTTCGAAATGTAAACATTGAAACTTTGGAAGCCCATGGGGCGTAGCCCAAAGGAAATATGATAACAGGAATAGGCCTAGGCTATATGTTAACCAGGCATATAAGCTACCTTCATACAAAATTTTATTTAAATCGGTTCAGTGGTTCTTGCATTATAAAGTAGCAGACAGACACACAAACACACACCATCTCATATTAGTAGATATAGATTTGAGTTTGTGTCAACATATCTCCCAAGACGGGTCGTGTTAGTATGGTTGTATCTTAAATTTGTGCATTTATATTTGTTTTGTGTAGCTATAATTTGTTTATTTGTTGTTTTTTCTTTTAAATGCCTCCGACGCGACGACAACGAAACATAGACAGGAGGTGTAATCGTGATAACGACCGCAGCTACAGAACAGTGACGCGTAAATATGCTTAACTTATCACAGTCAGCACCTGACCCTGGACAATCTGAACTATAAGGTTACAAATGCGTCCTAATACTACCCGAAAACGACTTTTCGTTCTCAATTGGCCCTCTATCAATGACCTGTGTTGCCTGTACAGAGAGGCATTTTGAGAAGGAGAAACCCGGCCGGAATGCTTTATGTTTATCAATAACGAAGATAAACATGGACAACCTTATACCATCATCGATTGTATAACTTATAACTCGATTGTATGTTTTGTGACTATTATATTGTTTTTTATTTGGTTTGGTTACTGTCAGGAAATGTTTGTAGAAAACATTAAAAAGCAATACCAGGTTATGAAATATGATACAATATTTACAGGAAATGTTGATTTATGTTATATACATCTTAAGTATCTCCATGAGTTACAAACCGGTAATCTTTGAGTTGAATCTTATAAACTCATTGTAAATATGACTGTTATTCGTTTTGAAATAACTCCTGTAATAGTTTGCAATTGCTCGAATTCGAGAATCATGTACACTAGTAGTCAATGGTTTACGGTATGCTATAATATAGCACATCTACCATAGCTATAATGTTCTACCACTGCACATAAACAATAGAAAAAAGTAAAGTTCTTATTGTCTCACAGCTTTTTGTCGCTGCTTGGTTCAAATTAGCTTTTGTTATAAATGGGAAAAAATATTGCTGTACTTGATTGCTGCAATTTGGTAAACCTTGTAATTTTTTATTGCTATTGAATATCCTAGAACCAACTTCTGTAGTTGAAACATCTTACAAAATTCTTTAATTCATTTTAAATATGAATACTAGCTAACATAGGAAATTCTAGAGCCACTGGGGAAGAGCCCGAAAGGATTTTTGAGATAAGAGTATGTCTATATGTTAATAGGGAATGTGAGCTATCATCATACCAAATTTTAACCCAATCCGACCAATAGTTAATTGAACTTCAAACAAACAAACAAACAAACACACAAACTTTCACATTTAGGCTATAATATTAGTGTTATTATATATTTTTCAGTGAATAAAATGTGTTTTATAACTGCCACTTCGAGAACTTGTAAAAATTTATTGATTTGTTTTTTATGTTGTGAGATCATTATGCAATGAAATCGAAATTATTTTTTCTACAGTTACCTGACAAAGTGGGCTTCCTTGCACTAATTATAGCACAGAAAGCTGCTAATTTCTGTGCTATGCTTACTTTTGCCTCATAGTTTCTTTTTGCCGCACACCAGTATTCCAACTAAACAACACAAAAAAGCGTGCTTTTACTAGGCACGTAATATGTGTACACTTGAAAATAAGTTGGCAACACTTAAAGATATTCCTACTAGATTAGCTTGTGCACCGTTTCCCCATTTCGTTCAATGTTTGGATTTAACCTAACCTAAAAACGTGTTGTACAGTGTTGTTTCCACACTCTCCTACGGTTTGTGTGTAAACATTTCTTCTCTTGTTCAGCAAAGTGCCACTTCTCCCACTAGTTACACAAATAGCTATTGCTTCATAATATTGGAAATTTCTTCCTTATTGCAGTAAGACCATCCGTTTCTTTGTAGACAAAAACTATCCCTTGTTATGATTTTTTTAAACATACCGTGTTTGGTTGGTAGTTTTGTGACTCGTACATGATGCAACTGACTTTCCTCAAAATTGTCTTTCACATTAATGTTTAATAACAGTGATATATTTGGGAGATAAAGTTATATATATATATATATATATATATATATATATATATATATATATCAAAATGCAAGCTTAGAATCTTATCTTACAAGAAGTATAAAAATATTAAATTTTTACAACCTTTCATAGCTATTTATTTGGAGTTAACCAAAACCTTACAAAACGTTACTATGCTGCCACTACAGAAACCACCTACTGAGACTATTATAGTCGCCCTGCCAGGTTGGGTTAAAATATATAATACTGTATTGAACTAGTAAGTAAACAATTTAAACATAATTGAAAGGTTTGAACACTATCCCAAATTATAAGTAAAACGTACTGTCACCTCTTTTTATGCAATATAAAATCCATGGTAGAATCAAAAGTTTACTCAAAGAAAACTAAACATACAAACTACAACAAAAACAAATCTAACAGCTGATGTATCTTCAATATTTTAAATGTGATTAAATACAGCCCTTTAATTGAGGTCCCTGCCCTTAATGGAGATGACTGATATTTTTTGGGAAAGATTCATATCAAGACCTTTCATTGAAGAATGCGGTTGATAGGTGTGCAGCTTATGGGTTTCTAAAACTTTGGATCTTTGTTAGCTTTATATATAGATTCAAAATAGTTTATTATTAAATGTTATGTTATCCTTTTGAATAGTCAATCTTATTCGCTTTTGAAAATTTGTAAGGTTAAATGGGAGTCAAAATAATAACAGACATTTCTATAAAGATATAACATGTTTATTTCAGATATAAATCTTCAATATGTACAGGGATTTTACAAAAATTGTCTTTACAATTGTCTACTAATGTCTAACAAACTTTAACAAAAATAAATGTCACTTTAATGGATAAATACTTAAAAGAAAAAATTAAATGCGAACTTCAACTAATTCAAGTTAAAAAGTAACATACACTTAAAACCTTTGCACAAGCCAACATATATAACATGCATGTGCTAATTGGCAGAATTTCACCCACTGAAATTTTGGTAACCACAATACGATTGCTTTTACAACTTATCACTCTCTTAACATGAAATCTTGATAGACTTTTCACCAAAATATAATAACCCTCTTTATATTTAAATCTTATTTTACATGTACACATATGTCACAGCTCAAAATAATTACAATTAAACTAATACTTACATTTAACTACATTTACATTAATTTCAACTACCAAAACATTGTACCGAATATTTGTATAAATGATTGTCCTAAATAATAAGGATACTACATTACTTAAATAAGTTTTTCTAATACATTTTAATTTCAGATTTAAGGATACTTTCGATGACTTTCAACTTTTTCTCTAAGGGGTAAAATAAATTTTTAACTTGCATCTAATTGCTGATTGAGACATAACATGTACGTAATTTGTATGGGTGTACATCCCCTATTTACTTGCTAAAATAATTATTCAGGTTTGTTATAAAACATAAATGCAATTATTAAAAGTTGACATAGGCTACTTCATAGTGTCAAAAATGCTTTTAAAATTATAATCCTTTAATTATGCTTAAAAACTTTAGAAATTGTTTCTTAATAAATCAATTCTAGGTCTTAAGTATACATGCATTTAAATATATTCTAAAACAGTGCTTCAAAAATACTATGTAAAGGTCAATTAAATAATAATATCAAACACGATTTTATTTCAAGAACTAGTAACATATCATTGTAAACATATTGTTTGTATAAAAAAATATTACAAAATGTATTAAGAACAACCTAGACTATTGTACAAGGGCGTCAATAGCAGAAATTGGAATATTACTAGGAACTATGATACTATTTCAGTTGTTGTCTTATAGGTTAATCATGGCAGTTATAAGAAGTTCTCTTTAGCTTACTGTTCATATAAGTCATGAACGTATATTGAATGATAGTTTCAGAAACAGAAAGCAAAAAGATGATTTATGAGTACTTAATTTATACGTAGAAAATATTTTTACAGGGAAAAAAAATATTTCTTCCAAAGTAGATCCATTGCCTTTTCTAAGGTTAAACCTAAATCAATAACAAATCAAATATTTATTTCTCTCTATACACAATATTATCATTAGACTACTTAATAAAATTAAAATTTTAACTACACCTTTAATATTTACAAATTAATATATCACTACTTTGGTTTGGAACACTGTAAAACAGTACAATGCTTAAAAACTGTTGTAAAAGGATTAAACACTGCAATAAATAGTAATACTTTATCATAAATAATTTACACATTCTTGGATCACTTTGGTATACATTATCTAAAATAAATCTACACTATATAAATTTACATTTATAATGCTAAATACAGAATAAAGTCCAAATTTGGACAAACTCAAATTATGAAAGACTTGTCTTATGGGGATCAGGAAGTTATATAGTTTGGGTGTTGGTTTGTGGTTTGTCACTTTGTGTAACTACTGTAGTTGAAGAAATTGAACAAAGATTGTTCAATATGAATATTTTACTACCTATGCAAATTTTTTGATTGCAAGATTTTAGAACGCATTTTCTTTTTAAAGTAACCGTTTTTAATAAGTTTTAAATATTACAAAATTATAAAATAAAGTCAAGGCCCTACTTTATAAACTATTGGTTATATTACTGGTGGGATAGTGAATCAAAATATGTTATTCAACTGTTACTAATGATTTGGTTAAACATTTTTAATATTGATTATTCAAATACAATTAATTAAGTGAAATAGTGCAAAAATTCTGAAATCAGAATACGGTTCATAAAAGGGACAAAACATCAATAAAGAGTAAAGAGAATAAATACAAATTCAATGCACATATTTTAAGGTTATGCACAATGTAGCATTTTTGGTTGATATGATGTAAACAGGTTTGACATTGACATTGAACTATATATCCCCAAGTAAAAATTAAATAAATTATTCACTTTGATATCAAAATATAGATTTCAATTGGCTTTGTTGTATTTGACACCGCAGTCAGTCAGAGGGTGAAGAAAGTTGTTGGGTAAACCTCTTCACCAACCGGTGTTATGTTTTTCCGACTGGAATGGACGCTTTCTCGTTTACTTGAAAAATCATCTGTGGACAAAACAGATGACCGAAAATTAAAAAAAGGAAAATTAAAAGACAAATACACGAGTTATAATAATCAGACAAAAATGCCCAACGGGAGTGTAAATAAAGTTAACTAATTAAATTTAACTAATTACGGTATATCATCAGTTTGCTTTTCATTCGAAATCTTATTGAATGTTTTATGGTGACTGGATTAGTCAATACTTTATTTAAATAAATCAATATGGACTCGAATGATTGTGATGGCAAATACAATTGGTTTATGCCAATTTGTTAAGTTATTTTAGCTTTAAATATGTTATGTTTTTAAATATACATGTTGTTTTTAAATTTACTAATTTGAATTATACTACAAGACAAGTTAATACAATATGGTTCAACTAGAACAAATGCCTTTTTAAGCTTCTAATTCGTCTAGCCTCCCACAAGTCTTTGTATATTTTCCTCAACAGACAGATGATAAAAGTAGATCAATCCTTCCTGTCAGAGATATAATGGCCGACGTAGCTACGTGTCGGACTTTCTATGAGCGTTGCCTTGCTCCCACTCCTACGTTGCTTGTTTCTAGTCGCGTTGTGATTGGATGACGACAGGGAGCTAGAACTTACCCCTGAGTCACTAGACTTCTCGCTCAGTGTTGAGCAGTTGCGGTTCTGAGGGTTGCCGCTTTCACAGCTCAGGTCTTGCCCGATGTACTTGACGACTCCTACTTTCTCCACCACCGTGTCTCCAGCTGTCTTCTCACTAAACACGTCCATCTCCAGCGTGTGGCTGGACCGCAGAGGGATGTTTGGTAGGTAGGTCTGCTGCATCACCTGAGCAGCTTCCTTACAGTTGATTGTAGCTGTTGTGGTGTTTTCACTTACACCCAGGTTGTTTGCTTGGGTTTCATTTTCAGTTCCGCATTGGGAGTTTTGTCCCTCGTCTGCACTGCTTCCACATTCGTCTGGAGCTAGAAAACAAGTTTTGTTCAGGTTTGTTAACTCACAAAAATAGATGAAAAATATTTTTCCTACAGTTACCTAACAATGTACATGTTCTCTCACTGATTTGAGAAAGCAAAGTGGCCAATTTGCTCATCAGTGAGACAATGTTAACATTGTCTCACTCTAATTACTTTGTCTCACTCCTGACTTGCAAGGTGAAGGCACGAAATAGTGAGCGCGTAACATGCAGGCGAAATCGTATGCGCGCGAAATACGTTGGCAGCACTGGCTGTAAATCAGCTGGTCAGCTGTTGTACTGTTGTATTTGTCACTTCAAATTAAATGTTATGTTAAAAGTTCACTTCTGTGTAAAAATAGGTTATGCTTCTTCACAAATTTATTTGTTTTATGGTAACTGTAGGAAAAGTATAATGTGCAACTCGAGTTCAAAGTACAATTGCCTCACTCGAGAAACCATTCCTCACTCGCCTACGGCTCGTGAGTAAGGATTTCTCTCCAGTGAGTCAATTGCTCACTTTTCTCACTAGTTGCACAAATAACTAAAACATCACGTAAAGTAGACCTAGTAGCGATAAATATTAACTGAAATTAAGAAACAAGGTAGTTGGATAATAATGACTTCTTCCCGCTGAAAGATGATAACTATACATTAACGTTACGTTATAATTATTAATTATAATAAATAAAAAGCATTACATCTTTGGTCATCCCTGTTTCTAGACGTTATTCTGGATATATAAATTATATTCACAGTAGCTTAAGTTGACATCTGACTCTCAGAAAAAAAAACATGTCCTAATTTTACTGCCTAATTTTATAATAGTTTACTCACATTTTTTAAAATACCTCTTTGCTTGCAACTTATGTTTTTATTAAGGGCCCATGATACAGTATAATACTCACATTCATATTCATTAAGCACTTGTACAGCTGCTAGTATCTTAGCTCGCTGTTGTAGGTCATGGATGTTCAAATAATCTAAGTCCGCCTCCTTGATCTCACAGAAAGCATCCAAGTCTTCATATCCATTGAGAACAAACAGAGACATGTGATCCTGAAACATAATAGAATGCATTGAAGAATTATTATTACGTATGATTATAAAACTTCATAAAAAACTGTATTCTAATCCTCAAACTATTTGGAATTAGGATAAATCTTTTGATAAATTTAAGAGAAAAAAATTACTCTTAAATTATTTCTCTACTTTTTATTTATTTATTGTTTATTTATCCTTATTTCATGTCATTACTTCAGTACTATTGGGTTCTTTAACACTGATAATTCTTGGTAAACAATAAACCGTGATTGGGACAGAAAGTCCTAATATCCACTCTAGCTACAGAAAGAATGATAATGCTGTACACACTGCTTTTTAATAGTACGTTAAGTAGTTACATTTTTTTTAAAAAGAAAATTTACGGAAAGTAAATAAAGAAACGTCTTATAACACTTAAAACATATATTCATGCTTATTCTGTTACTCACAAGACGGTAAATATACAAAAAAGGTGGTAAGTGGTGATCGATTTCGATTGGACACTCCAATCATCATCAGACCCAATAGGCGAATGACATCATTCATGTCATTCGCCTATTGGGTCTGATGGTGATTGGAGTGTCCAATCAAAATCGATCACCACTTACCAACTTTTTTGTATATTTACCGTCTTGTGAGTAACAGTATAAGCGTAAATATATGTTATAAGACAATCTTTATTTACTTTCCGTAAATTTAATACATATAACACATACGATGCTGATCAAGAAGTTATGTAAAAGAAAATGAAAGTATTTATGTTATACCTCACAGTAAATAATCAAGACTCCAACAAATAAAAATAGTGATTGCAAATAGGATTTCATTGGCTCATTTAATGATGATAAATTTAAATCTTGTTTTTTTGTACTTTTCTGCTATACCAACCAGCTCCTAAAGTGTAACCTTGGCTTTAAAGCATTGGGATATATTATTATGACATAGTTGAGAATAATTATTAATTGATGGGACTGGTCCTTGGGAGAGACTTGGCCAATGTTTCTGCGCTCTAACAACTACATTTACAGTAAACAGTATCCTAATGTAGTGTACCTCCATATGTATGGTTCTTAACATCTGCTCCAATGTCTGGGGTCTGTGTCTGCAAGGCCGTGGTCTCAGTGAAGACTCTGTGAGCAGCTCTACATTGATGAACTTGAAGTTACCAACTCTGCCGTGAGCTCGCCCCCGCCACAGCCCACTGGCGTTCATTGATAAAACCTCAATCGTATCTCCTTTCTGGAATTGATAGAAGGGTTTATCCAGCAATATTCTAGTATTGTACTTTTAATTGCATTATTAAGTACAAGATTGAAAGATTAAAACCATATAAAGTATTTATTATCTTTTTCATGATAATTTCAATTTATATTTCTTTTTTGGGGACAGGCTTCTTTCCCGATAGTACAGTTTAGCTAATAACAGCTTGTTCTGCACCCTCAGAACTGAGACTTTTGCCCTAATGATAAAGTTTATAGTATTCTGATATAAAGTTTATAGTATATTGATTGTCAGGGATAGCATTTGAAACCTAGATGTACAATGCAACTGTCTGCTTGCAATGTTGAGCGGAGCAAACGTAGTACCACAAATTGTTGCGGATGAGCTTGATTTCACATAAATTGGTGTCTATACTTACAATACAGTATCTAAAGTCAACGCTACATCTGGTTAACGTGAACAAGATGTGTATGTGCAGTGTTTAAAGTCAATGCTACATCTGGTTCACATAAATGGGGTGTCTACTTGCTGTGTCTAAAGTCAAAAGTGTATAGACCTAATTAGTTATTCATTTTGTAGTATATTATACTCAACAGATTAATCTGATCGTTCTTCCCTTTTGTTCGATATGTGTAATGTAATTTGACATGTTTAGTTATAAAATAAGGCCCATTTAAATTCACGTAATTCACGCTCTGAAGTCTGATTTAAATCATTTCAGATTCATCCCCACCATAGTTGGTTACTATGACTTTGTTAAATGTCATCCTGATCACTTCAGCCTTTTGAAGGAGTATTTGGAAAACAACAATTGGAGCATAGTATAAGAGCTATGCTTGTTCGGCTCAACAACTTCTATACTTCAGAAACCGGAAAACAATTTAACTGTATATAATGCAAATATCAACAGATTAGGCCTACTGAAAGGTAGGCCTACTTCAAGTTTATACTAAAATATGATATATAGCAAAAATTTATTCACAAACCTTAAACTTGAGAACATCTTTGTCATAAGGACTTGGTGTGTAATCTACAAGGGCTCTTGCTCTGGCGATGACAGTTAACTTGTCAGACGGACTGTGGGACTCCTCAGAACTGGGGTTGGACGAGGGAGGTACCAGGGCTTGTGTACCTGCAAAGAAGTCATTACTGTATCTGGCCGGTGACAAATCACGTTACAACAGAACACAATAATAGTACTCCATTATCATCAAAAAAATTTTAACACACCATATTTCTGGCACTTATAATAAGTAGACTAAGACACCTTTTAAGTTTCTGTGAATCATAGCAGTTTTAAAATTGACAAATACCTGAACCATTTCCCTTTGTACAAAAGGTTCATATAACTTTATTTGTTTTAAATTTATTTATATTTTTTTAAGAGGTTGGCGGCCTGGTTTAACCTTGCATTTGCCTGTTTACTTAGACTGTGCGTGGAATATATGCAGTAAAACAATGCAGTCCAAAGGTAAAGTGTACTGATAAAAAGTACTGGCAGGTACCAGTATCTGAACCCACAACATCACTGCCTTTGGGCAGAAGTCCGTGGCGCTACCGAATGAGCCACCAACTGATTACCTACATTCTTTATGTAAAGTATTGTTCTGAATTGTGTTATTCTTGACACGTCACACAATAACATGCACTATAGTACTCAGAAAAATATGGGTGGATTTGGTTTGCTACCTTAATAAAAGTATTATAAATACGGTTAATTTCCAAATCCACATTCCAATCTTACATCGTGACTTCATTTTAATTGTTTCCACATAATTTACTTTGATATCATTCTTATGGTGGCTGTTGAACATGTAACTATGGATTGCTGAATCGTGAGTGTAATTATAATAAACTAACTAAAACCAGAACGTGAGTACCGGTATACTTCCTTGAGCTCCATATTAACTTATGAGCATCATCGTAAATTTCAACCTTCTTTCAATCGTAAATATTTTAACCATGATCATTTCCACTAAATTCACTTTATTGATGACAATAATCACTAAAATTTCAGAAAATAATTTCTTAAACTTGCTGACCCTTTCGTAACAAAATCTCCCCTCATTTAAGATGGCAACACTATTGAAAGGCATACTCACTGGATCCGCTGGGCAGACTCTCAGCTGAACTGTGGTGGGCCACCTCGGGAGACCTCTCCTTGTGGTGCCTGTGGTGATGGTGGTTGTGGTTGTGGTGGTGGTGATGATGGTGAGGGTGTCGGGAGGATATTACCTTGTTTGTGGTGTTGTCACCCTTCAACCCTCTCACTCTATGGGCCATGGAGCTGTTCCCACACTGAAATCATAAGTAAATCAGAAATTTCATCAATAATTGATCATACAACAATGATGATTTAGCCCAAATGAATTACTATCTTACGACAATAATATAGAAAATTAAACTTAATCTGCTTTAGTGTTACAATGTCTGTTTTAAAGTGTTAAAGTCTTTATTTATTGTTTTGAAAACTCAGGTTTTGTTAATGTTAATGTTTTATGACGGACATTAGCTAAGACCTGAGTCAACAATATATATCTTCCATACAAAATTGCAATTGCAATGGAAGAATATACTTTTCGAGTATATATTATTTCAATGTATAACCGTTACTATGACTTGCAGATTTTGGCTTTTAAGGTATACAAAGTTTATAATCTGTTGAGTTGACTGAGCAAGGTGTATACGTATAAACAGAGTATTATAATTTATTGATTAAAGTTACTTACAGAAGAATGCACAGTGACTAACTCATCTTGTTCAGCGTAGTCAGAGCTGTGGCCGGGAGAAATGGCAGACTCTACTCCCTGTTAACACAAAACAACAATATGCATGTAGTAGTTTACTTAAAAATGCTAAAGTGATTTTAAGTTAGATATCCTGTTCAAGAAATACAAAACATGTCCAGATTAACATCTCAGAAACATCTTGATATATTAAATGTGATTCAAACTGGAAACTTAGACACTAAAATTAAATTCATGCAACAAACAAGAGAGGTAAGAAACAAGTCACTCATAAATTCCAAGGAGTAACAGAGATTCCTAAGTCTTTATTACAAGGAATCTCAGTAGATGGCACAAGACTGTTCTGTGACAGTTTATTAGAGTCTTGTTATAACCGCAATGTCATAAACTGCTTTACTACTGTACTTGGCAACTTTGCCCTCTCATAACTTGAGAAGGAATCATTTACTTGTACCCCAGCTTGTGTTAGGGGGCCTTTGATACGTGCTACTCATATTGGGAAAGTTAATAACAAAGATACCTTTGAGAGGAATTAATTTTACTTCCATTTAGGGAATGTGTAATATTCTGATGTAGTTACTTTACTCAAAACTACATACAAGTTTCATTTGCTCAATCATAAATAAAGTTTTATGATTTTATGTTTGTTAATATTATCTTAATGATAGTATTCCATACAAGATAAAACAAATCATGAAACAAATTTTTACAAAGGAAGTTTAAAAAAGTATTCATCTATGGGATGTAGGCTAACAAAAACATAATTTAGCATAGAAAATAAATTGTGTATAATTCCCCAAAAATGATTATAAAATGAACTATGAAAACAAATGTCTATAAAGAACAATGTAATTAGTTCTATTTTAATTCCAATAATGATTATTGGCGTTGTGTTGGCTACTTACATTGTATGATCGTAACCTCTGGTAGGGATCAGTGGTTTCTGATCGACTGGTTTCCATGGATAGAGAGGAGAGCCTTGAGCTGAAAACCGTTAACACTTGATAAGAAATATTGATCAAGCATAAATTTGAAATATTCAAGATTGTTTAGAAATTATTGTCTGAATTTAGAATAAAAATATATGTTGTCAATAATTAATTGAAACAATTTTTGGCTTGACAGTACAAAGATGTATTTGACCCTCACCAAATGCTCTGGACGTCGGAGGCAGCATAATCTCCACTCTCTCGATGGTTTCGTGCATGTGTGAGGGGGATGAGCGTGGGAGGGTATGGACCAGACTGGGGTAGCAACAACCCTCTCTGGTGGTGGGGAAGGGAGATGTCTCCTGCACTACGGAGGGAAATCACAGCACTCTCCCCAGAACTGCGGCCGTCAGTGCGCACATTTAGTGTAAAACACACTCTGTGTACGGAGAATATTATCAGTATAAGGATGAGGGAAGTTTACTAAGCTAGAGTAGTATAAATTGGCTATCGGCAGGCATATTTTATGTGATACAAGAACATGGTGATAAGAGGTCGCATGTGCATAGTAAGTCTATTATTTACTGAACTAAATAAAATGAAAAAGAAACTTCTCAGTTTTCCAGTAAAAGTATTAGTATGCCTTGAAGATTCTTCTGTCTTTCTCAAGAACCTTATAATAAGCACAAGGTACATTTTTAAGATACAACAAACTAAACCAGTGAAAATATAAAACCACTTGGGAGGAAACCCAGATTTCAAACTGTTTACAGTACTTTGAAACACTTTTGTTTTATGATTGAAATGTTAAAGAGATCTCGTAAAGGTTAGCATTGTTTCTCTTGCACCTGCTGTTGTTAGCTGTGTCAGCCATCAAGAAGTCCTCTGGGTCGCTCTCGTAAGGAGGTTCGTCGTACCAGTGCTGGCCGAGCCTCTGCATCTCATCATCGTACATGTATGTGTCGTCACTGGAACGGTTACGCTGACGTCCCAGCTGCAGCAGTCCTTGTCGGATATCCCTCAAGATCTGGGGAAACCACTCAAATACAACCACAAGTCTAGCAAATTGTTTCCTAAATTGGTTTTATTCTATCTATTTTATTTAGTATCTAGAAAGTAAATTTGGTTTACGTTTATTGGATATTAGAGGCAATTTTAGCTTTTTTCATTAAGGTCAAAAGCATGCACTTTTTATTATTTAATGTTTACCAGTTGAATGCAATAAAACATACCTAGCGTAATACAAAATTATTATTTTTTTAATATGGTAAACTGGTGTCATTAATGTTAATTTGTGTAACAGAGAAATTGCAGACAATATCTCTATCCGTCTATTGAACTTAACTTAGAATTACAAAAAAAATAATTAAGACTCTTGTTATCTTTTATTCAAAACTATTAAACACCTACATCACAGTAAATGTAGGTATTTGTAAAAAAAAATGAAAAAAGTATTTTGACCAACGTAAATGTTGACGATGTATTAAATATAAACACTGATATTCTATGAGATCATTGAAAATAATAAATTAAAGTTGTAAAGACATATAATACTTTAGTGTATATAATAACTTATATGTTAACTATTGAATACAGCAATAATTTTAAATGTTCAATTTATAATAGTTAGCACCATATTTTATGTTGAGTTTGGTAATAAGCAGAATGGATAAATAAGTTATAATTTATTACATGATTTACAAAAACTATCAGCAAACCTTTAAGCAAAATACAATAATAAAGTACATATTTACCTCTTCATGTTCCCTGTCAAAGCGTTCTTTCTTTTTCAGAGCTTCTTGAATTTTTAGCTGTAAAAAGAATGTCATTGTTACAAGGATGCCACTATTTTACAACAGAAAGTAAAAGGAGAGATATGGAATTTGTAGAGTAAGTTAATTATACACATATTTTGTTACATGGAAGTTAGTGAGATAAAATGGTTGTCTTCATGTTTTGCTATATTTTTAATACCAGTAACAATTTTAATAAGGCCAAACTCAAGTCTTCATAAGGTATAACAGTTAATAAGGTTAAAATAATTAATAATTTAGGCCATAAATGTAAAAAAAATCTTGCATACGGTGTAAAATAGGTTAATAAATTGTTAACATGACAAAACTAATACTGTAAAGATAAAAATAAGCTATTTGTTAGTAGGAACTTTGTTAAACAGTACTAAATTGTATTGTTGCCAAGCCAGATTCTATGCATATAGAGTGGAAAAAACATTATAGCAATAATTTATACTTTCCAGTTCTATAATAAACAATATATTATCAAAACTATAAATTGGCATAGTATTAGCGAATTTCCCTATAGGGAAGTAGCTATTACCGTAGGTCTCATGGTAAGACTTAGGCCCGGGACCGATTTACTTTTTCATTTTGATGTCACCAGAGGCAAAAAACACCGTTCGTTCAAATTTTTATATAGATATATATATATATATATATATATATATATATATATATATATATATATATATATAGATTTATATATATATGTGTCCGTGAACATGATAACTTGAGTAATTTTTATCCGATTTTGATGAAATTTGGTTCAAAGGCGGGATAAACTTGAATGAGTTTGCGATCCAGCATGATCGGACCATGGGAACAGGGTTTTATTGGGGGTTTTATGGGGTAAAAATTGGTTTTTCTCACTTTTGACCCTCAAAACACAAAATTTCCCAATTTTTTTCTAAACCTTCTTCAAGAGCTTAAAAAAAAAAACAATTCAGTATATCAAAGTGTTTTTGTACGGTTATTGGTTACGGAGAAGACTAAAAAAATTGTAAATTTAAAATTCCCATGTTATTCTTATGGAGAATATTGTAAAATGTTGTAGTTTGCTTGTTTATGGATATCTTTAGATCAAACTTGGCAAATATATTCATTTTCTACTAAGCAATAATTATTTTACTTAAAACACACACTTTATTAGTTTCCTTGTAGCAGAAAACCTAGGTACTCGTTAAACCTAATGTTATTTAAATAGATCGATTGAAAATCAATTCAGCCAAATGGAAATTCGCTTAGACGGCAGGTTTGCTGCGGCGGGGGTATTCTTTATTGTTATCATACAGGATGAACTTGTATATTATTTTTCTATAAATTAGATTCATTTAAACTTTATTATTTTGATAATAGTAAAATTCTATTGGGACCTATATCATTTATCATGTGATGTTTTATTAAGGTTCATCATATTTATCTTATATATAAAAAAAACTTGGTTTTTCTTTTCCGACTACGTTTGGCTCTTCTACCCGACCGATCTTCATGATTGAGGTCTCAAATTTGAAGGTATGCACGCACAGATTTGTCACCAAACATTAGCATATAATTATCTATAGTATCACTTGGTTTATACGTAAACGAAATTTGCTCTCCATGTATTTCTTATGGGAGTTAAATTTGGTTTCTCTTTGCCGAGTTTGCTTGGCTCTCTTACCCGACCGATCTTCATTGTTGAGGTCTCAAATTGAAGGTATGCACGCAAAGATTTGCCACCAAGCATCAGCATATAATTATCTATAGTATCACTTGGTTTATACGTAAACAAAATTTGCTCTCCATGTATTTCTTATGGGAGTTAAATTTGGTTGCTTTTTGCCGAGTTTGTTTGGCTCTCTTACCCGACCGATATTCATGGTTGAGGTCTTAAATTGAAGGTATGCACGCAAAGATTTGCCATCAAGCATCGGCATGTATTTACCTATAATCCCACTCAGGTTATAGGTAAACGAAATTTGCTCTCCATGTATTTCTTATGGGATTTAAATTTTGTTTCTTTTCGCCGAGATCGTTTGGCTCTCTTACCCAACCGATCTTCATGGTTGAGGTCTCAAATTTGAAGGTATGCACGCACAGATTTGTCACCAAACATTAGCATATAATTATCTATAGTATCACTTGGTTTATACGTAAACGAAATTTGCTCTCCATGTATTTCTTATGGGAGTTAAATTTGGTTTCTCTTTGCCGAGTTTGCTTGGCTCTCTTACCCGACCGATCTTCATTGTTGAGGTCTCAAATTGAAGGTATGCACGCAAAGATTTGCCACCAAGCATCAGCATATAATTATCTACAGTATCACTTGGTTTATACGTAAACTAAATTTGCTCTCCATGTATTTCTTATGGGAGTTAAATTTGGTTGCTTTTTGCCGAGTTTGTTTGGCTCTCTTACCCGACCGATATTCATGGTTGAGGTCTTAAATTGAAGGTATGCACGCAAAGATTTGCCATCAAGCATCGGCATGTATTTACCTATAATCCCACTCAGGTTATAGGTAAACGAAATTTGCTCTCCATGTATTTCTTATGGGATTTAAATTTTGTTTCTTTTCGCCGAGATCGTTTGGCTCTCTTACCCAACCGATCTTCATGGTTGAGGTCTGAAATTGAAGTCATGCACGCAAAGATTTCACATCAAGCATCAGCATATATTTAGTTACCTACTGTATTACTCGGCTACAAAAATAATTTAATTAATTTCAAACTCTTACATCAATTAAAGAAGTATTTCACCAGTTATAATTATATAATCCTATATATTTTGGTCTAAGAGTTTTCAGTGAAATATCGGCTTTTATTTAAGTGATTAAGATACTGTATTACCTAATACAGTATCTTCATCCCTCAATCAAAAATCATAAATTGGTTTTTTTTCTGGGATATTATATTTATTATAACGCTGGGGAGCAGCATGGGTTCTCTAGTATGAATATGATTTGATCCCCAACAAATGTTATTAATGATTTGGATGTACTTGATCAAAACAGAAATGTATTGTTCAAGCATAAGATAGACAGATATGTTATCCAAGCATACTGACCCTGTGTATTGTCTCCTCAAAGGTGTTTGGAGAGTTCTGGTTCTTTGGCAGATACCTGAGCCGATCATAGTCCATGGGCGGCAGGAGGGTAGGGGGTGTGTCGAGGTTGTCAGGGGTTCCTCCCTACACAAACAAGGGTTTGGTTTTAAACTAACAAGTTAAAAATAGTAAAAATGCTCTGAAAAAACTAATAATGTAATATAATGACATAAATATTTAAAACATTCACATAGCTAAAGAAAAATAAGTGACAACTTTTGTTCTGAAACTCCAAAACTATATCCTTCAATGTCAACCCTTAAAAGTATTTCAACATTGATTATTTTGGGTCTCCAAAATTAAGATAAAATATACAAGAAAGCAAATACGAATAGTTGAAAAAACACAAGTTGACGGATGGCATGACACAACAAGTAGACAGCGAACCTTGTGTCCTCACAGATGTCAGGAGATTTGCAGCTTCTGCTGTGAGAGGGAACGAGAGAAAACTCATGATTATGATGATGAAGAAGTCATGTACGGTAGTTAAAATTAAAAATAGGTTCGGTAAAATTATTTTGGGGATTATACAAGAAATGATTACGCGGAAAATGCTGATAATTATCGCAACTTACCCTGCTCATAGTCATGTGCTGCTGTTGCTGCCTGGGCGAAGAAGACTTGTCTTTCCTGTGAGTCGTCAAATGCCTCAAAAACCTCGTGAAACTTGTTCTCTTCTTACCAGGTCGCTCTGAGGATGGACAAACAATAATAAACACTTGAACAATATGAGATTCATTGGTCTAGAGTACTAAAAAGTAAATTTTGATGGAATGATTGGAATGAATGGAAAGAACTTTCAATTTGAACAAAAATAGAAGTTTTAAACAAAAAGTTTTAAATGTATATTTTACATAATAATGAAGTAAACTTGAACCTAATTGGGTCAGGAAGGTAATTATACAATACTTGGGAACATAATGTTATGACTGAATCCACTCTAATCTGAGTAAACTTGGAAATAATTAAGAACCAAATTTTTAAAAATACTTAATTTCTGGATTCATTTTACATTGATCATTTGTTTGATACATCAATAATCCCTGCCAACCTGATAACAACATAGCAAAGTTAAGTAATTTGGATACCATTTTGGATATTTATTTACAAAAGTAAAGACAAATTTGGCTCATGTCACTCACACACTTGGGTGGTGCCGATGCCGCAACAGAATTTGGGGAGTCGTATGACAGAAAAGACTTTTAGTACGTTTTTGAGCACTAGCCTATAGCTAGAAACTACGTTTTGTTACAACTTTTACTAGTTTACTCCTATACACACGAGCAAAAGAAACAATGCATTTCCTTTTGATGAAACATAACAAAATTATAAAGTACGGGCAATTTATGCACATTTTTACACCCAAGCAACTACAATCTCATAACCGTAGAAATTGATTCCTAGAATCACATAATTTGTCACCACAAAAAAGTCAGAGTGTGAGTGACATGGGCTACTGCTACTGTCAACTAGTCTTCTACTTTACTCACCATTTGGAGGAAACTCATAGAAGTAAGCTGATCTTGGACTCAAACAGCTATAAAAAAGAAGATAATTAGGTTAGAAATTTAGTAGATGTTAGATTATACTTTTATCAAACATACAATGTGGTAATTCATGTGTGAATTTAAATACAAGTTGACCTGAATAGTTTATTGCTAAAACGAAAATAAGTTTTTTGCATCATGATTGATTCAATAAATGTTTACTATATGATAAATTAGTTATTAGTTGCAATAAATTATGTTGTGGTGGTCAATATTTTCCCTCTGAGTTGGCGAGAGGGCTATCGAAGTTGGCGGAAGTTGACCGGAGGGGGAGTGTCAAGGGGGAAGTGTTGATTGCAAACAGTAATTACCTAACGTAATTGCTATTTGCAGCCAAACATTATTGGACTTGCCCTTTCGGGAATATTAAAACTGTCAAATTGAGAAGAAACGATATACAAATGCAAATAAATATGCATAGGATATACATATATTTCAAAACTAATCACAAATATTGAATTTTGGTAGTTGAATTTTAAGTGACTGCAAGTATAGTGCTAAAAATAGAAATTGCAATGCAGGTTGATTAAAATGGATATCAATGTGAAGTAGGGGGATACACTTTCAGTTTGGGTTTTGGTAATATCAGAAGTTTCAGTAAAATTGTTAGGCTAATATTCACCTAAGCAAGATTCACAAAAAACATCCACCACTTTACACGAACAAAAAAGGCCTGAAATAATGTCGTAGAAAAATAAAGAATAAAAATAAAGAAGAAATAAAGTAAGAAAAATAAGAGAATAATACGGTAAAAATGTAACATAACGCAAATAAACTATGCGGGGTAAGTAGGCTATAGCTCGCAATGGAAGCTAGATGTTTATAAAATAATGAATTTAAGGTAATGAATTTGTATACAAAAGAGCTATCAATTTACAGTATTATGTAAAAACATACAGAAAATTAAACGTTATTTTTAACTCTAATTCAACATTTATCCGGTATTATAATGAGGATTGAGGACACAGAGGTAAGTCAGGGCTACAGATATACAGGTAAGTACTGTACGAGGACTGTCCGTAAACAATGGTCTCCATCCCGAGCTCCAGTCATTGCCGAGATACTTCAAATCTGAGATTAGCAACACGCTTTTCTTCAAATCAAGTCAACTAGTTTATTAACAGAAATTTTGATAGTGGTTTTATTTTTATTTCAACAGGCTTGGTTCAAGTTTGATAAAGTGCAAGTGAGTTGAAAAGTGTTATGCCGTTGTTGAATGTTTAGGAATTGGCAACGTGTGTGAATTGCACAATGTGTATTAGGTTTTTACAGAACAGTCACATTGAGAAAATTCCTGTTTCAAAAATCATGTTAGAGACTTGTAGGATGTAAATAGATGGTAATGTAAACATATTTGAATAGAAACATTATTTAAGGCCGTATTTACGCCTTTTCAGAGATAAAATATTTCTTAGTATTTTTTTTTAGTTCAAACAACATTTTAGTCTGCTGGCTCTCTCATCCCCAAATAGGAACGGCGAATGCTAAGTGAGGATAAATGAGCCAATAGTATGCCGTCAGCAGTATATCCATTCTCCAGTTTCTCATTGTTTCTGAGGTTAGGCAAACGGAAATAACAGAACTGAGTTTTTTTTATGTATTAGGTATGGTCATGAAAACTAAGACTCTTGTCTATGATGAATCCAATGAGACATTTGACGTGTCTTCATCTACTATTTTTGCCGGTTTTGATCCATAAGCGAAGATTAGTCCCGTTTTAGTAGCCAAAGAATTTGTAGGATTTGTCTTATTTGTGTTTGGAGAATTTATTGGTTTATTTGTATCAACGCTCCCATAAAGTATGAATTGAGTTTTGAGTTCAGATTTCTGAACTTCAATCGATTGAAGTCAACTGCCAGGTATCGGACGGAAGTGTTCTGAAGTAAAAAATGTGCGTAACTGTGTGCAGTCGTTGGGGGTAGCCGGGGGTAGCCTATAGGTTTGTTTAAGATTAAATCAGAAAGTTTTTAAATTGCTCACTTAACCGCAACTGGAGTCTGACTCTAATTTACGGATTGTCCTCGTATAAAACTGATTAATTTTTTTCCAAGTTATTATTATTGGTAATTAGTGTTGTTGGTAGTACTCACTTTTGGTAGTTCTGTCTAGGGGTGATGACTAGTTTTGCTTGTTGTTGTTGTCTCTGCAGCATTTGTTTACCGTAGACACCGTAGCCGGCGAACCCGTATATCTCGTCCTCCTCCTTGTCACTCAGGCAGCTCGACGGCTACGGACATACCACGGTGCAACAATATCAAAATACAGCCAATAGTCTCTTATCATACAACACTTCATTTTGAATCACACAATACGACCTTGTCACAGATATAGACTTTTTTCCTCATAATTAAGCACATAATTCATTAAGGTCAAAATTTCCGGTATAATTTAAAAGAAAGACACAACTTATAGCAACGTAAAAATGCAATAATAATCAGTTCTTTGGCATCCCACATCAAGAACGATGATTTTGCCAAAAGATTGACAATCACAAACTAGTATAAGTAAAGTAAAAACTATGCTATAGTAAGAACTACAGTATTTTAAGATAATTAACTCCAATCACATCGCATGGGGCTTACCGAGTATTTTCCAGGCACGTAGATGGGCTGCGAGTGGGAGGTGGTCAGAGGTACTCGTGTGAGAGGAGTAGAGGGAGCAGGACCTGGAGGGGTAGAAGGAGTGCCCAGGACTCGTATCCTGGGGGAAAGTTCCGCCCACTCCCGCTTCCTCAACTCCTCCAAGTGGTCCAGGACGTCCCGGTAGTGCGTGTTGAAGAGATCGGCGTACCTAGAGGCCAGTCCCTCCAAGTACCCTCTCTGGCCCTCCTGTGAAGAAGCATCCGTAGTTAGTGAATAAATAAGTAATGTATTGAAAATAATAGAGCATTCACAATGCTTTGACTAATTGATTAGTTACTTCTGTCAACAATACCGAAAGTAAACTTCCTATAACGTCTTGACTTGTAGACTAACATAATACAAAGCCAATATTGCCGTATTTAGATGTTCATCGTTTGTGTATTGCCTTAGCTGAATATAGGTTAACATGATCTATAAAAACTTTACAGTTTTAGATTATCTGTACAGTTGAAAAGGAGAAATTCAGTATTAACAATCCTACTGATTTTGAGTACTCTAAATAGAAGGCTTATACTTTAGACTAATAGAATAATGGTAGTATAGCTGCCACAATTTGGCGTTACTAGACTTTAAACCAGTCTAAAGAAGCTGGCACGGTTGTGGTGACGGTCATCATAAGTCAACTTGGGTGTACATGGATCGACAAGGTGTATAATTCCGAGACAAAACGAACATAGGGGTTAAAAAATGACTTGTCAGAAGTGGGATTCGAACCCACGCCCACAGAAGTGGACTGCGACCTGAACGCAGCGCCTTAGACCACTCGGCCATCCTGACTCATAGGGAGATAATCCCCTAAATACCATGATACTGCTTGGAACCCACACTCAAAATATTCAAGAAGGAAAGTTAATGATCATCAAAGAAGAAAACCTACCACCGCTTACTTGAAAAATGGCCGGGGTAAAACTAAACACATGCTACCTGGTAAATGTGGAATCGTTCTAGTTGCAAGATTACAAACCAGTAAAAGATAAGTCATTCGACCTGTAATAATACTATGTCTTCAACCAACGAATTAATTGAGATAAAAAACTAGTTTTTTAACGGGCGGCATGTTTCATACTCTCTCCCATAACTAATTCCATAATTACTTAATAATTACCTCTATGTTGACATTTGCATTTATAATTTGTTTAATTAACATCTGTTCTATCCATGTGTTTCTTTGTTATTATAATTTACAGTCAATTAAAAAGCTCTATCTTATTTTCCAAGTTTTTTTTTAATTTTATTCAACGCAACGCATTTAGTTATCTAACACTATGGTTTTATTAAGAAAAGTATGTAAACTTGTTCTGTGCAGTTCGCCCCAATTGTGTTTGTTTGTGATGTTACGGATGAACGTGAACTTCTACTGAGAAAACGTCAATGGAAATATTACTGTAGTAAAAAAAACAAAAAACCCTAATTTTATTTATAAAATCGTCACGTTAAAGACCTTAAGCCAGTGAACCGTCTTGCCCTGGCTCTTTAATCATGATCTTGGTTATCAGCCAGAGAGTGTTGTGGCAAGCAAAAGCATTTAATTAACAGAATTAACTTTCATTCTAACAATCTAAGTTGGGGAAACCCCCAAAAACATATTGTGTTAACTTATTACTCAGGAAACCCCTTGGTAATAGCAGGTCTTTACATGGATAACGATAATTTGTGATAAGAACTCTTCTTCGTCATCTTAATAACACAATGAAACATTTACCGATTAATTTGCAAAACTATTGTTTATTTTTAAAGGATTTAATTATGTATTAACTATAATATATAATAATGGGTTAGTTATTGTTAAAAACTAACCCATCCACTTCCTTTAAGATACCTTTAAGATGGAAAATACAACTCTCATTATTGGCTTCACCACTAACTGAGAGAAGTTTATTTTCAACGAGTCTGATTACATAGAAGCACATACGTTCTCGTTTACAGCTCCTAAAAGCTTACCAAACGCTTATTTATCGTAACATTGGGGCAATATACAGAGTTAATAAGTCATCTATCACACTTAAGACTGTGTTAAGCGGCAGTTACGCCAATACTGTATGGCAATGTTTCTTGCTGATGTTTTATCAAATAAATTGTCATAATTTGACCTATATAAAACGTACGCCTTTGAAAAGACTTTTGTCATCCTTAATACGAACAAATTGAGCCATAAACAATCGTGAATGGATAGCTTGAATTGTAGCAATAAATACCCCCACCGCAGCAAACCTGCAAACTAAGCGAATTTCCATTTGCCTGAATTGATATAAAATCAAATCTATTCAAATAAAATTAGGTTAATCGAGTACCTAGGTTTGCTGCTACAGGGAGGCTAATAAAGCGTGTTTTTAGTAAAATATTAATAGCTTAGTATAAAATAAATAAATTTGCCAAGTTTGATAAAAATATATCCATAAACAAGCAAATACGAAAAAAATATGTTATGTAAAAGTGTGGCACAGTTTAGTAGAACAATAAGTTTAGTAAAAAGGTACGAAATAGTATTGCATATTTAATTTGTTTTAAATAATAATTATTACTTTCTTACTTGGTAACTTTATAGGTCCTAAAGGTCAAATAAGGTTTTATTAATACATGGAATGTGCAATAGGCACACATATCAGTACTGCAGTGAATAATAAAATTAAAAGATGTTATATTGACAACATTACACTGTTGTTACAATACTTTAATAAAATAAATATTTCATGATAGAAAAATATGAACTTAACAATTTTTTTTTGCTATATTTACGAAATGTTGAAAATATAGAGGTCAATCTTGCTCTATTTACTTAGTACACCCAACTGAAATGGTTTCAAGAGTTGTAGGTGCGTTACAAACCAAGGGCAAAAATTGATATATTGATTGATAATACAGAACTCTCAATTTATCTGTTGCTAGAATATTATTATATTTGTAAAAATACTGTTAATGTCATAATTATTATAAAAATCTAATTATTATTTTAAATGATTCAATAATAAATAATTTAATGATACATGAGAATGGTTAGGGGTTTATCCAAACCTTTTAAACGTTGCAAATAGCTTATAAACAATCAACAAAAGTCAGAGGTTACAGGAAATAAGTTTTAGAGAAATCGTAAGCTATTCATCTAAGCTTCAAGGGACGAATCCCAGTGAAAAAGGCAATCAACCCACTATTATTATTCTGGCCACATGGTCTGAAATGTAATGTTCTTTCTCTCTCTATCTCACGAAACATGGAGCATTCTGCCTCTGTCTCTGTCTAATTCCACATGGCTGAGCTATTTCTGTCTCTATTCCACTCATTGCCACTTCTATTTTCATCTCTCTCAGTCTCGTTTGTCTACCCCAGACACCCATATAGTTGACAAATGATAACCATTTCTTTACCCCCTTAATATATATAAATTTCTTTCCACCCCAAGAACCTCAAGTGGGGAAAATAATATAAATTCAGTACGTTAATATCCTAAATTAATTTAAAGGCAAAAATAGAACCGAAAACTAAAATTTCACCATTAATTTGTTTTTCCTGTCATCCAAATGAAAGATAACGCGTACATACTGTAGTGTGTAACGCTCGATAAAAATATTGAGGTTCCACTGAGATTTGAACTCGGTGCTGGATTCAGGGTCCAGAGTGCTAACCGTTACACCATGGAACCTTGTAAGTAAAATGTAAATTAAATACAAAAGAATTATCACATTACCTATCGTACTATCACCTAATTCCCTATGGTTGTTTAAATTAAATTAGTTTATTGGTCCTGCACAATGTAGGATAATTCAGTGCTACAATCTCAGCGATATTACCAGATACAGTAATATGTAAATTCCGACTCGATATCTGTAGAAGCTGCGACCAGGGTAGGCATACTCCTACTAAACCTGTGATATGGATCAATTAAATACATACAGTACATGGTTTTAGTAATGTAGTGGTTATTCTAGAATATAATAAAAACTATAATATTGAATCCAGCTGACCAACCATGCTTATTAGGGTGTTTATAAAAGAATGCCGGAATTTTAAAAGGGTCGTTGCTCGGGGCCTATTCAAGAAATAATTTAAACATCAAAATGAAGGGAAAAGAACAAAGTTATTTTTCATACTTTGATACAATTGGGAATAATTTAATAAAATTCAGATTTTCAACAATCTTATACGGGCGTAAAACTGGCTAAGTCTGTACGCTTAGGACGATCGGCGGGTTTATCTGATGTCCTAACTGGATCCCTTTACGCATAAAGATTCTATCTCTTACAGATAACATCATGAAGTGTTGATTTAGGTATGTTCAACTGAAGACTTCGGCGGGCAATAGATTTTTTTAGCCGGCCAGGTGAATGTCTTTTCAAAACACTACGGTACCACGAAACTCATTAAGCCAGCGTCAAATTTCTTTATCATCAGGTAGATTTGAATTTAGTTTAATTTAGCAATCTATATAAACTCTGTGAACCACAGATTACACTCTGTGTCTTCTGTTGCGCCGTAAACATTGCACTATTGAAAAGTAAAGCCTATTGAAGAGTATAAAGCTACCAATTCAAAACCATTCTTGCACCATGAAAAAAATTCCACCTTGTATGAATGATCTAGCTAGTTACTGTGTTGGATTGTTGAGAATAAAATATTCTTGTACGTGGGAAATGTTTTACGTGTCCTTAATTTATTTATTTTTAACATAAATGTGTACCAGAATTTTAATTTAACCAATATTGGTCCAAATTCAAATAATCACACAAATACTCTATCGTAAATCTGATTCGTTAAAAGATGCACTCAGCTATAAATAATTAAGCTGTTAAGCTGTGTTTTTTTATCCAATCTAAAACTTTTTACTGCATAAATATAAAAACACTATGTTTTAACAAAACGATTCAATTGCAAAATGTGGTCACAGTCTTGTTGGGCAAACAAACACAACACTGTCAGTCTCTGGGTTTCTCGTATGGAAGCAAATAGGGATGTGACAGCAAGTCCGAGGTGTTTGAAAGAAGGTGAAGTCCGTCCACTTCTCCCCAGCCCCTGCCGTCACCCTTCACAATCAGAGAGAGCGGGGATGAAAAGACACCCTTGTCGGACATTTAGAC